CATTAGGTGTCTAGAGTCTTTAAATACATAATAATATTAGACAAATATATTTTAGGGGAAGGCATGCTGTAGCATCCCAGTCATTCTACTCCTGCTATCACCCCCTATCACCCCCTGTCGCGCCACTGCTTCGAACATATATATGAGAAACCTGCAGATACCCTGAAGGTATATTTAGTCACATTTAGACTATTATATTTACAAAAAAAACCTACTACAGTACTACCCTATGTTCCACAAAAAATTTTCATTTTCAAAATATTATTTTATAGTTTTTACATTAGGAAATAGGATTATCTACACAATATAAATCGCGTCTCAAGACATAGTAAACACACGTCTAAAATCGAAATAATATACATCTTAAATCGATTGATTTGGAAAATAAAAAAGATAGAATTGAAACAAATCAGCATACTTGCACGATTGAAGTCGACCTAATACAGATTACAGGTTATGTTGACTTCCCACCTCACCAACCTCACCCACCTGAATAGATCTGTATACGCTACCCCTCATCCCCTTTACATCACTTAAATAACCATAAGCCTATAAATATGTAATCCAATCTGGGCATATACACTAAATAAAATAATACAATCTATAAAATACAAATTGCACCTACACAGGAAAAGTATTTTTTTATCTTATATTGAATTAACTGTTGACGGCTTGACTTTAACATATTTTATAACTAATTAATGAGGTTTTAATTTTTATATAAGAATTATAACTTCAAAATATTCCTTAGCTCTTATAATAGTTCTCTTCGTTTTATTTTTCGTTTTAGAAATAAGAGGACATTGACGTATGATGTGTTGACAACGTCCTATAATAATGCATACCATTGCAAATATTACGTTTAGAAGAATCTATCTTAGTTTGTTATTTTTAATACTATAGAGTGAAGTTTTACTTATCATCAAATTCTAAGGTAAGATTTTATGCAAAACCCACGTAGGCTTTTTTGATATTTTAATATTAAAGTCATGAAGATTTTTTAAATTTACAATACGGTAAAAAAAATGTAAGTGGAGACCTCCTGTGTTACTCCAAATTAAGCTCTGATAAACGGTAACACATATCTTGCAATATGTCAACATATCATTATTATTCGTCATATTACCTATATACTATAGTGGACTAGTGCAATAATGTATTCATTAAATCATCGAAAAAATTATTGATTATATTATGTATAACTGTTTGTATAACAGTTAAATGGTTTTGTTAACTTTAGGTAGACAAGTCACACGTGACACCAGAATGTATATAAATTATTGATATGTATGTGTGTGTGTGTACAGACTTTAAACGTATACGCATTACGCAGCATCAACAAGTTTAGTAAGTGAGTGTAATACCCAGATTATTTATCATTGGCGAACATTTTATAATCAATTTGTCATGAGTCCCGTAAAATTTTTCTTCAGTAGTTCAAGATCAACCGTCGAGGACGTTTGTATGTGAATTTTAAATTTGGTATCGCAGATTTTCGGTTTCGTTTAGTCTTTAGTTTTAAATTTCCTGTAGTATATGGCTGACAAAAAGTAAGCGCTTTTTGTGTATTAGGTTGTTATTCGAATATCTATTGGTTATTAAGTATATTAGCTATTATAAATTTATAAATTATTTTAAAATACAATGTTTCATAATTTCATATAAAGAAAGACTTTTAACTCACTATACATCATTTTATTTAAATCTATTTTTCCTTCAATGTTATTTAAACTTTACTCGTCATGAATGTATTGCAAAGATGTATTGATTATCGATTGACTGCACAGAGATCTTTCAATCTTTTTATATTTTATCACAGTTATCGTTTTCCTGGTTAAAAATTCAGTATCAAACGTAATATATTAGCCGAAATATCAATTGTTGTCTATATAGACTCAATATGTATATTATAATTTATAATAAAATATGTCGAGAAAAAAATACAACACATGAACTAATAAACTTGTCTCTTTTTACGAATTAAAGTAATTGTTGCAAAGGATTTATTGTCAGTAAATAATAAAACTAAATCATAAATATACATAGACCACTAAAATAGTTTTTTTGTATTTCAATAAGTTACGTTCACTGTCAATATCATCTATTGAAATCTATAGTCCTTCACTACAAGTTATGACTTAGGATTTGTGAAAAGTGGTGCGTAATGCGTAGGTAGTAGGTATACATATACTGTGTACAACCGAAACAAAAACCAACACAATCCTAGAAGTTAGAACAGTCCCACGTACAATAATTGATGCCTTATGGTATCTCCCGATATGTGGTCTTCTAATAAAGTAGGTATGCGTTTAAATAACTATACCAATATATAAACCATGCTCTAACATAATAATACTACTACAATATAGAACCTAATTCAACCTATTAGTGGCGTATCCAGTATTTTAAAATGGGGGTAGGGGTAGGGCAAAGACAAAATATTGAAAAAAAAAATACTGAACAATATAGTTATTGACAATAATAATTTATTTTTATGTTGTTTCAATGTTTTGATATTGCCAATGGGGAGGGGGGATGGCTGACTGCCACCCATGGCCCCATGGCTACGGCACTGGTACCTATATATATACCTAGTATAGCCTTAATACTGGACTGTATTATTTATTAGTTATTTTCTATCTAGAAATTTTAAATTATTTGTATAAATACAAAAGTTACGTTAAGTTTATACTGACTTATACTAATTAAAATATCAGTAAACGCACATATGCGTTAGTATAGGATAATGCTTTTAAGTTTGATTTTAAGTTGATTTACTCTAATATTAAAGCTATAACAACACACAATTTGGTTCGGTAGAATACAATTTTGTATGTGTTACTTTGTAGCCGGTATGTATATCTATATTGTATAGACTAAATATATATACCTTTGTATTTTAACCCATTTAAAAATGGTCTTGCAAATGAGTTGTCAGGACCTTTATAAAAACTTACTTTGCTGTCCTATAACTTATATAATATTGTATTCAATATGGATCTACGAGCTACGTCTAATATTTTAATATAATTTAAGGCATATATTATATAGTTTACTTTAATATATAAATCAATTATTATTATAGTATAGTTAATATGTACTTACACTCTACAGTATTATAATATGAGAATATAATATGTAAGTAATCAGTGTTTCAGAGTTTTCCATTTCACTGATTAATGCTGGTGATATAACGATGGTATCATTGTTTCGAATTCTGTATATATAGTTAGAGTAATTATTATTGAAATAATCGTTCTGTGGTAGGACTATGCAGTTTCACATCAATAACTTTTTTCACTCACTATGCATTATTGTAAATTTTCCAGACAAGCAAATTCAGTTTAATCGTTGATATTATTTTTATTATTTTTGTTTTAATGGTACATCTTAGATCATGTTAAGACATTATAACAATTTATTACATTTTTTTTCACTTATTTCCATATTATATAAAAATGTATTATTAACACATTTTTTAGTCGTTTATTGTCGGACATTGTTGTGGTGATAGGAGCAGATTATTGCGTATATTATGTAATACAAAGCGAATATCTCTAAATCGTGGCAACAAGCACCGGACGGTCGGTGGTATACTTTTTGTTGTTGGGGTGGTGGGGGCGGGGGAGGACGTAGTCGGGTCTCCCGTAGTGTCGGTCAACGCACGAAACCACTACGACCATAGGCGACTTTAGGCGGTAAAACTGACCACCGAAGATATTACGACCGTGACGGTTACGAACGAGTTTCGCGCTGAGACCGTACAATACAACGACAATAATAATGACTAACGACAACGCAACACAACAACAACAACAATATTATAACACTTCAATACATACATATATATATATAATATATGGCAACTATAATAATATATTATATTGAGAATCCCTGCGCTATAGTTAACGCGTTAGTAGCGTTCGTGTTTGTGTGTGTACTGAGTGTACGTGTGCTTGTGTGCGTTTGCATATGTGTGCGTGCGTGAGCTAGCAACGCAGAGTTTAATATAATACGTGTGCGCTAGTGTGTACGCGACGTGTGCATGTGCGTTTGTGTGTGTATGGTGCGGCGCTTGTGCGTGTGTGCGCGGAGCGGCACGGCGCATTGCGAGCCCGGTTGTGGCGCGGGGACTGCGGGCGGCGGGGGAGGTTATCCGCGTGTCGATTGGTCGGCTCCCTGCTCTGCCCCGTGTGGTATGCGGCCGACCGGACGACGAGTCGAGAAGTCCGCCGCGCGTGTTCGCATCGTCGGCATTAGTGTACCGTCCGGTTCAAAAACACGTCCGTCGTCGCCGGCGCACAGTACGCCAGTCCACGCACAACGCGCGCGCTTATGCGCCAGACAGTAATACACATACGTACACACACACACCAGCGCGAGCGCGCGCTCCCGTGTACTTATGCGTCTACGACTGCGACACGAGTGTAATAATATTTTAATACTACGCGACACGAGTGCGCGCCGTTAACAAGTGTCGAATGTAACGATAATCGAATATATAAAATAATAATCGCGATGGTGCTTAATAGGTATCGTTATTAAATATTAATTATTATCGCTGTAATCCGCGGTCGAACGCCAGTCTCGAGTAAAAGACGCTGAGCAACCCGTTAATACCCAAAATATTCGTCTTAGTTTTTCATCATTGTGTCGTTCGTTTGCGTTTTCCGTCCGGTCGTGTCGTCTCCGGATTTTTGGATATCGTTTAGTGTCGCTGAAGTGTCTTCTCGTGTGATGGTGCGTTATCGGCGCGCGGACAAAGGTAGTGTTCCGGCGGCGCCGGCCGCCGTATGCCGGCCGCCGCGATAGGTGCGCCGATCCCACAGTGATGACGATGTGCCGCCGGTAGGGTTGTCGCCAAGCACAATAGTAATAATACCACCGTCGTTAACCGCGTGTGGACCGCCGTTACCCGAGTGGTCGGCGTTTGTCTCCTCTGCGAACCCCCGCCCACAGAAACGAGCGTAGCGGTTACTACCGCGCGAGCCGCCGAGGTGATGCCCCATGCGAGCGAAGACGGAGGCGCGGCCGGCGAGGACGCGTGCAGCTCGGACGAGCTGATCGTGTTCAAGGACGAGAACGGCGGCGAAGACGTAGTCAAGCGTTCTTCCGATAAAGTCACCGAGGAGAAGTCCGACCTGATCGACTTGTCAGAATCTGAGGTAAACATCGTCAGCCTGTATGATATAATAGTAATATAATAGTCCGCTGTCCATTATTATTTTTACCTTCCAGGTAACCGACCGTTTGTTTGTATTTGAACACGGATAGCGGTAGCCCCCATACCTATTATTATACTAAACAATATTATAATTATTATTTAATGGTTTTGTTTGTTTTAATTCCGAGTGATTCGGGAATCGAAACAATGCCCATAGAACTCGAACGCGGGCGTTTGAGTTTGACGATTGCCAAAATCCCAGATTATTGTTTATCTTATCCGTGGCAAGTCCAATTACAATCCCGAGGGGTTGTTTCACGACGAACAGGTGAAAACAGGTGTAACACCATTGTTAAACCCCTCTCGCCTCTGTCCCGAAACCCGTGATTATAATAATAGCCCTCTGTTGAGTATACATACACACATGCACACACGTACGTTAACTAGGCGTAAAAAAATTCATATTCGATAATTTTATGTTTCCTTGGTATATTCTTCTCTCCGTCTCTCCTCTAACACTCATACTTTCTCTCTCTCTTTGTTTCTTTCTCTCTCTCTCTGATTCTTTCTTTCCTTCCTTTCTTTCTTTGGCGTGTTTCTTTCTCGTCGTTTGCGTGAGGATTTATTTGTTTCCGTAGACGTTTTGCGCACCAGACCGAGACGCTGTTAATTACGGGGCCTGCGGGTATCGCGTTACCCATCGGCGTCGTAATGAATTCAATTAACTGTTCGGAATAATATAATATACGCCATATATAAGCGCTCAAAAATACAAACACAAACACGCTCACCAACACCTAGACGCCCCGTCAATCATAAACACTTAATCAGGCGACAACTACCGACAAGGTCGTTACTAAAAATTTATTTTTAATAAACGGGCTCTCCGCGAACAAGGAAGACACGTGCAACTGCACACGTAATTATGTTGTGACCGTGTGCGTACAATGTTCATTTAAATAATATCCTCGTCGCGGTTGATTTTTACCTGTATTATTTATACTTTTTCTTCTTTCAATCAATTAGAAACGTTGCTTATTTAGTACTATATAGTGTTTATTCATTAATATATAGGTACTATATATACATTATACAGTATATGCGTGATTTGAATTATTGCTCGTGTGCGTTAATAAATAATACGCAGTGTAGTATGTACATACTGCAACTGCAGCCTGCTCTTTCCCGACATCCTGGTATTCGGAGAAATATCAAATATCTCTGGTGTTATAATCTAAAGAATAATAAAGCGTGTAATAAGCGAATTTCCATAGGATGGCGGTTATACTTTGCCGTGATTGTAACCCAGCCACCCATGGCGGCACACGTAACTTGTAAAAAAAATGCACTAAACGCATCGTCGTACATAATGTTATATTATATGTTGCATACGTCTTATTATTAGGCCACCGCCGCCTAGCACTCCCCCCGCGGAGTGTTCAGTGTGTGTGTAAATGCCGAAAATGTATTTATTTATATTTTTTCTCTGAAATTTCGATTTACTTTTGTGTGTTGTCGTTTTGATCACCGGGGACCCTTTGACACAATAGTAAACACAATAAATGCGCACCTCCTGGGATTGAGAGATTCTTGGTGTGCCCTCTCGGTCCTTGTTTAATAATATTTTGTGCGGTCACAAAAAAAAAGAAAAAAAGAAAGACGGGGCGAAGAAGGTTTCAATACGTTTGTATTGAGAGAACACAACATCGTATTATAAAGAATGCTGGGGAAATATCAACCCTACAAGTGTTTGAAACCTGTTCCGTTTGTTGTGTGCACAGGGATTACGACGAGAAACGGACCCACGGTGTGTTTCGGTATTGTGTCCCGCTGTCAAGGAATTACTATAAATTATTATCGCATGTGATCGTTTTCGGAATTGCACCACCCACACGAAAATTTGGAAGGGGGGTAGTATATATATACATATACTATATGTATATATATATTGTATAAAAATAGGAATTTAATGTAAGGTTATTTTCAAATGAAACAAAAAAAAAAAGAAACACGAATAAAATAAATAATGATAAACCAACAATAGCTAAAATGGCGATATTCGGGTGCACGTTCTTGTTATATGTATAGTCTTTTAAGACATTATTATTATTGTTGATGGGCGCGCTCAGCAAAATATATATTTTATCCATACCATGTATAAACATAATATAATAATGTTAAGTATATGGTTATAATATTATGTACACGAGTAACAATAACCGGTACCATTAGAAGTATTTGATGATTGATAGTAATTACGAGCACTTGTATAGATGATTGGCGCGAGCTACTTTAATTTACTCGGTGGTGGTAATGGCGTAATCTGGTTACGTTGCGTAATTCCAAGAATATGCCTATATATACTATGTCCGCATGATGATGGACCACTACAGCTATAATACCGTCGTCTCACCTCCTCTCCACGTACACAAAGAAGAAAAAAGTATTAAATTCCTTTTTGGATATAAAAACTATACGGGATAATGACCCTATAGTGCGAGACTTGCAATCGGGCACCTTTATACTATACTCCTGCTAATTTCACAAGCCCGATTCTTTCGTGTGTGTAACATTATTATTATTCGATAGAATTTCAGAAGCTTTTTCGTAATGGAATTTCATATTATATATTTATATATTATACCGAGTTACAATATTAAAATAATATAACATTTTGGAATACCCATACTTATGTCGATGTGTTGGTCTTGGTGGGTTGTGGAGGGGTGAGGGATTGGCGTGCACATCATATTATTATACACTCTGTAAAATTGTTGGAAAATAAAAAACTGAGAACATGACCGGTTTAATTGGCGTTCAGGTATAAAATTGGATAACAATTGGCGTGGTGGCGCTCCGCAGGGGCGCCACGGCCCATTGCATTTTAGCGTTATTAGGCGCCATCCCAGCATGATGAGGTTAAGCATTCGTCCGTCTCGCATTTAAATATAACATATATATATATTGTGTATACACCGTATTACATTACCGAACTTAGGCGTATCATCGTCGGCCGTTACTCGTGTGCCTATATATACAAGAAGAGCGTTGTAGCGTACCTATTATGTTATAAAATATAACTGTCGTTAGAGGTACCTATATAATGTAATATGTGTGTCCTATACGCCACTTGCCATCATCAGTATAAATTAGAGCTGCTTATTTCACGTGTACACGTTTTCACGTATACATATTACTTCACGTTTTCAAACGAGACCACTAGTATAAATGCGATTATATGAGTAATTATTCATATAGTTATTTTTAATCCGAAGAGATTGTACTTTAAGTTATCTTTAAGGCTATAAAAATTGTTTTATATAATTCGACGTCGTATATCAACAACAATAATTGTTAATATTGTGTTTTTTTTCATTTCAGAAAGTCAGTTCAAACCATCGATGTTCTCCTGTAAAAACCAGCAGTTCTACTCCTGATCTCAACCGAAGTAAGTTCCCAACAGTTTTTCTTTTTATTTAACAAGCACGCGTTTACAATGACTTGTTTATTTTTTGTGGGGGGGGGGGGGTTGTGTCAAGACCAGGATCTGGTCACGTATTTGTGGTCGATAAAAATATAATACATAATAATTATTTTTACGCCCTATAGGCAAATAATGAAGTAAATAAATAATATTACAATCATGCTCACACATAACAATAATATAACATTGTATAATGTATATATTATAGTATTACAATTATAATGAAATAACAGTAAAACAATAAAATATTTTGTGGGGGGAGGAGGACGGGGTAAATAAGGCAAGTTGTTTCTAGAGTTAAGATATGGCACATTTAAAGATACATTATTATTATGGACTTGTATTTTTATCCCATCGATTTTCTTTCGCTTTTGTCGAAAAACAAACTTTTCTCCGCACGTATTTAATAATAATTAGTGATCCGCCGCCGCGGTAGTGTATATATAATAGTCACACCGGATCGGGCCCGTAATTAGGAGGTACCCGAACAGCCGCGAGCGACAACTATACCAGCGCAATAGGTCCGGCACCTTATATATTTCTCTTTTCCGTCCCACACGTTTCGAACCGGCGAGCGCGCGCGCGCACAGTCTGACCGGATAACCGGTGTAAATTTACATTATTTTCCTATATTTATAAAGACCGTGCGTAATTTATCGCGGTACATTAACGAGACCGGTGCGTGTATAACAAACAATAAATTTAATAAACAAAACGACGCGTCATTCATTCGCGGAGAGGGAAAAAAAACGTACACATATAATATTATACGGTATACAATACCCGCGCGCAGGGACCCGTCAGACAAAAACCAAACGTCTTATATTGCGTGGTGGATGGCGTGGGGATTGTATTAAACAAAAAAATTACACCACGTGGCGTGGTCGTTGTTATGTGTGTGTGTGTATTAATTTCGAGCAAGAAAAAATGTATACCCAAATCTTATTCCCGCTGCACAGGTAACGCGCACACCGAACATGTGTTGAACACACTCGACGGGTGGCGGTTCTCGGAATCTGACCGAAAGAATGTCATTCTGGGTGGTGACGATGGTGGTGGTGGCGGCGTCGGTGGCAGCAGACGTGGTGGGGGTCGTTGACGCAAAAAAATAATATAATATAATATATTATAAATCTTAAAACCCTCGCACTCTTTCGTGTTTCCTCTGTAGTCTGTACATTATATTATGTATGTATAGGCACAGACTCTATAGCCTTACGCCTTTCGTTTGTGTACTCCACATTTAAACAGCCGTATACGACCTTGAACGTTATATTGTCCACCGAGGAGAAGCGCGTATAATGACAGAATAGCTAATAACAATAATATAATAGTAATAATAATAACAACAACAATAAAAGAATAAAAGAGGTGGTCGAACCGAGCGCATTATAATAACCCGAGAGCTGACGACGCCGTGGCCGTAATAATTCTCCAGCGCGTGCATGCGTATTTACGTACGTGTGTGTATATACTATATATGTATATAATTTCATGTATGCGTAGGTATATAATATACAATTTATATTATATATATATCTATACAAGTATATAAAGTATATATATGACTATATGAGCAATGTGAGGCACAGCCATAGTAGTCTCTGGGCAGGGCTCCGCGCACAGTCTCGGGGCGGGGTAACGCAAGGCTTCCTAAACGAGGCTCGTTTTGTTTTTTGACACCGGACTCCCTCCCCGCGCCTCGCGTCCAACCCTGGACACAGTAGGTTCTTACGCTTTCTTCGCACCCCCTCCCAGCCCGCTGCCTCCCGCACACCACCGTCGTAAACCTGGCGGCGACGACGACGACGACGACGACGGATCTTTGTTAGCCGTGTGTGAGTGTGCTCTGTGTGCCAGTGCTATCTCAAGCGGTGCTCGTTAACCAAAACTGTACACGACTACTGCACGCGAGAGAGGAGAACCGTCGCCGCCGTCGTTGCGACGTTGCCGATGTGTTCTAGTGAGAGAGAGAGAGAGAGAGAGAGATAGAGTGAGTGAGAAGCAGATCGCGAGAGGAGAATCTTCGGAGATTTATTATATTATGCCGCACGCACGGTGGGTGACGCGCCGTGTATATCACATGGTCTCTCACGACGACGACGACGTCACACGCCGCAGCAGCAGCCGGCTTATTATTATGCATTTTATTATTATTATCATCATTATCATTATTACATGTAAGGCAATGGTGTGAGTGTATGAGTATTTTGCTCGCAGACCGGAGATGACGGTTGCGGCCGTGCTGAGAAGTCGAGTTTGGGTAGAAAATCGTAAACATAATAGGCATAATATTTAGAAACCCGAGCGAGCGGCTATCATAAAAGGGTTTTTTACTTGCATGTCGTCGACGGTCGTAAAACATCAACATAATATATTAATATACGTCGTCGTCGGGACTTTGCCGATCGGTATCACAGCGCGAACATACGCAATAATATTATTATACACATTAAATGCTAATATTATGACGTATTATAATAATGTCCAATTGCACAGTACACAAACAACCACGGTAAGCAGTTTTCCAAAATAACTTCATTGGTTCCTACACCATATCATGAGTCAAGGCGTTTACGGCTAACTTAGAAGAAAGAAAAAATATACACACCCGAATTGAAATGTCAAAGTGGACAACAGTTTTTATATTGTTGGTACCTACATATTATATAACATATAATCTATACGAACTAGAATGATACAGTTTGTATATACTATATAGTTTCAACTTGTAGTGAACATTAAAACCATTTTGTTTTAAGTATTTTAACTAAAGATATAGATTTGGCGTGTTATGTAATCATATTAATTTTTATTTGATAGTTGATACGCTATTTTAATTAACATCTATATTTTAACTGGTTAAATATTCTTGTATATATGTATAATATATTATTATATGGCGTGTAATGTGTATACTTTATATAAATTTATTTTTTATCCAGTTACAACAACTGCTTTACTGCTTTTGATATCATATTTTAACTACCGAGCAGTAGTGTCACTTTCTGATCATTTATTGTTTTAAATCGCAGTGTAATTTGTGTTTCTTGGAAAAAGATCGTGTGATAATTATACCAACCAGTCCGTGTTGTACGCATTTTATTATTTATTAATTATTAAAAATTTGGTCTTAAAACCATAAGGTCTCCGGGTTACAAATACATAATCCACGAATGAAAGAGTTTTATTAAAAAAAATAAACCTTGGTTGTCAGTGTTGCTACTACTAACGTTTTTACGATTCATACAAAGTCCTATCATTTTATTTTATCATTTAAACGCAGCGGCAAAGGTGAACCTGTTGCCGTTATCAGTCAATTACACCAATTAAAAGTCCTAAACCATCCAACCATTGACCATCATTATTTTCTGATTCAATCATAATATTATAATACTCCTTCTCACCTTCTCATAATATCTATGTTGTATACTTGTATATTATTATGTTAAGTATTTTGAAATACCAAACTTAATGCTCATATCACACATCTTTTATATTATTATAATTATTATTTTTAATATTAAATTATATTATTATTGTTATGAATCTAAAGTGTAACTGCAAAAAGTTTCATTTATATTCTAATTTAATTTTCTTTATTTGACTATGAAACTGTATTCCTAATAATAATTTTTAATTTTTCTGTAGAATAATATTGTATTTACGCTATGTCATAAAAATGACCACAACTAACATTTCGAGGACCCTTCCTGTATCTTCATATTTTATTTAGTTACTCGATCCATATTTATTTGAATTTAGTGTTTTTAAATATTATTCGGTTGTCCATATTTTTAGTCTTGAAATATTTTTGTTGCGAATCACCAATAAATTAATATTTAGAAAAACATTAAATATTCCAAATACTATTTCTTTTTGTACACCAATCAAAATATATTTTTTTTTAATATTTCGTTTATTTATTTTTTGAGAATAGGAGGTATAATGGTAATTGTATATTTATTATTTGGTTATACTTTAACTTTGTCAAGGGTCTCTTGATCCTCGCCAACTAAAGTGTATGAGGTTTTTTAAAATTAAATTTTTGGCTAGTTATTTTTAATAATAACATTACAATTAATACGCAACTCATATAATGAGGCGGTCCACCTATTCAAATATAATATAGTTAACGGCTATTGTTAACATTTCTTGTTTTTGGTGTTGACAGCATCCGCCGACAGTTCTATATTTTTCTGGTTTTTAGAAAAATGATTAACTCACTCTGTTTGTATTAAACGCATAATCAACACGCGCTGTTCAAACAAAGTAAAGTGGTGTGCTCTCGTCGTAGACTCTTTACGATAATTTGGTTCATAACTTCGCATGTAGATATATTATGTATAATATTTTTGTATGTATTTTTTACACATTTCGCTAATATTTGTTTCACTTGGCCGACAATAATCTTTAACCATAAAACATAGCTTATTAAAAATATTGTCATTTGTTGCTAATTTACTAATATGAAATATACCAACTGAAATATTATAAGGTAAATAAAAACAAAGAATATATATTTTTTGTTTTGTTAAAACATTTGTTTAAAGTATGAAATGGGTGATGAAAATTGAAAATACAATCTGTTAAGAGGCCGCTACACCCACATGCGTTCTATGTCTTACAAACGCATAACATAGCAAACTGTACTCTTAGCAGAACAAATTTAGCTCTGTTAGTTTAAAAAATTGAGTGAATTGACCTCTTATAAAATTTAGAAGTAAGAATATTATCTAGTGAACCTCATAGGGTTTTTTTATATTTTAATTTTAAAGCAAGTTATGAGTGTTTTAAAATAGTAAATTTTTTAACTGAAATAACAAAAAAAAGTAGTTGGGGTAGGCCTTTTTTAAGTATATTTAATAATTCTATAACAATACAAAAAATAAAGTAGTCTTTTGATGCCAAAAATATAATTGGCATTTGGCAGTAAATGGTATATTTCTTGAAACCTTCAATATATCTATGTTTCATATCTGCAGGGATAATCTTATTTTCACTTGATTAAAGATAATATTTGTTTTTTTCAGGTAAACCAGGTCCAACTCCCCACCCACCTGCTTTCAACATGGGCTATCTCGTTGCACCTTATCCATCGCCCTACACGAACGGCACTACGTCTGTGTCAATGGTAAGTCTTAAACTTTTATATTTAACTTTATTGTAATTTACACATTTGTCTACGAATAGGTTTATTCTTATGTCTATAAAAGAATCACCATAATACATTATCCGATAGTACACACTACACGTCAATACGTCATGTATTAAAATTATCCTATGATATGTTTAAATTAACTGTCATATTGTTGATTGATATTATAGGTACATAGAGAGGTACGGGTACCTGCCAATATTTGTATGATCTGTACAATTTTAAGGGAAGTTATGGATGTTTGATGAGTAGTATTTTATCAATAAAACTCTGCACCTTTTATTTCTTTTGTGGTTTGATATGAATGTTATGGTAGGCGGGCAAACTATCAAAGAATTTTGACCAAGTCGCTTACAAAGACATGGTCTAAATGGATTGTAAAAATTCACTGAACTGCGTAAAGTGTTGTATAACCATAACCAGAAGTTTTGACTCAACAAGAGGCCGACGCCCGACGAGATTTTTTGCTATACAGGGAAAGATTGCATGGAAGGATTAATATGTATACGTCTAATGCCGTCTAATGTCTTGGGATTTTTAAATAAAAATAAATTTATTAATTAATTATCCTGGTAGAAGATAATAATAAAATATACGGAATTATTTATAAGATATCAGATTTGAGTTCATTAAATGGGTCTATGAGCAATGGATTTAACATAAACTATTCACAAAATAATATAGATAGTCATTAAAAATCTTGACATAATACTGAAGCCGGGTGTTAGGTATTCGTCTCTCTTCGCTTGCATACAAACATTTTCTACTAGGACAAATTATTAAAAACAACAATAAATTGTAAGACCAACAATGATTGTATAAAATTCTAAACAACAGGATATTGAGTTTCTTTAGCCAAAAAACAAACAGTTTCGATATGACACTATATTACGACTTGGGATTTACATTGATTTATTTACATATGTTATACACAGATTTTCTGTGTACGGGTATAATAAATCGACGTATGGCCTCAGTTTAAACTTTAAACGTATAAATATTTATTCGAGTTTCGAAACATCCGAAGACGCGTAAGCATAACTATAATTGTATTGTTTACATCGCGCAAGCGTTGTAAAGTTAACATTTTGTGTAAACCCGCGCTTCTTGTCGCGACGATGGTCGTCAGATAAAAAATATATCATTTTTTATCCAGACATTTTGCCTTTCGTCAAAGGCAAACACGACGTTGCGCGGTTATGCCACTTATGCCCAATAATGTCTCCTTACATTGCGGCGCGCGCTATCTGAGGAATTGTTCACACTTGTATTGACGACGTGTGTGCGAAGTTAACACCACTACTACTACTACTCGTACTAGTACTACTACCACTACTACTAATATAGTTATAGTAGTGTTACTACTGCACTGCCACTATAAATAATAATAATATAGCGAGCGATAGGCGACGAAGACGACGACGACGACGACAGTTAATTCGCGTCAAACATAATAACACCGTCTCTGTTTGTGTGTTCTTCGGAATCATTAAAAATTACAATAATTATATTTAACGAGAACGGCGGTAATTTTATTTAAACCGGCGGCTGCAACGGCAGCACGGCGGCGGCGTATGAAACAACAACGGCGTCGTAGTCGTCGTCGTCGGCGGGTCAATGCGTGTAGGTGTGTGCGTATGTTTTCGTGTGTGTGCGTATGTAATCATATGTGTGTGTGTGCCCAGCGCGCGCCTGAGTCTGGTTAATGCGGTTACGACGGACGCGTTCGGTATCGCGGGCTACAAACAAGGCGGGTAATTTGCCGATGACAAGGGGCCACCGGTGACGGGCGGGGCGGCGGCTTCGGCGGCGCTTGACACACACACGCGCGGGCACGATGCAGCCGCCGCCGCGAGCGCTCCCACCACGATAGCCGCCGCCGTCACCGCGCGTAGAGTCGTATAGGTCGAAAACTGGTTTGCCTGCCGCCGTCGCGTCGTCGTCGTCCGTTCGTATCAATGCGAGTCGTGTGCGTGTGTGTAAGTGTACATATGAGTGTGTGTTTTTGTGTGTGGCGGTGGTGGTAGTGGTGCGCCGGGGTGGACGACACTGGTTTTTCGGATCGGACCGACGGACTGGACGCGCGCGCGCGCGAGGTGTGGCATACCTGTTGAGAGAGAACGCGCGCGCCGTGTACGACGACGACGACGCGGCGGCGGCGGCGGCATTAGGAGCTCTGGTATATAGCCTTGAAGAAGAACAACCGCCGCGGCGCGCCGGCCACTTACTATACAGCCATTGTGTGTGCGTGTGTGGACGGTGTTGCCGGACTTCCGACAATCGGAGGAGCTCCGGCTCTAACCATGTTACTTGCGCGCGCGCACACACACTCACACGCACACACACACACACACACACACACACACACATACGTACACGACGCACACGTTCGGTCTAGCGCGTACTCCGCACCTCGTTGCCTGTAATCGGACGTGATTGACCCGAACTCGGGCTCTCTTCTCTCGGTCCGTCCGTCGCCCGTACGCTATTATAATATTAACAACCGAGTAAATCGCCGCCGCCGCCCGTCGCTCTATGCGGTGTCTAGTCGTCGTTACGAAACGCACGCGGCGTGAGAACGATTATATTATACACAATATATTATAATGTATACATATGTGTGTATGATATACGTTATACGTACAATACGTGTACGTAGAGAGAAGGTTGGCGGAATAATAATAATAATAATAAAAATTACGGACGAATGAGGTTTGTTGTGGTTTTTTTTTCTATCCTCGTCTACTACATTATGCGCGCTGAGCACGCGGTATGATACCGGTCAGTCCGCGTGTGCCGGAACACCGAATTTTTCGTCCCGTAATGGATGGGGGGACGCCGTGTCGCGACAACTATACTATGACCCCCACGACGCCTTACAATCGGGCGCGACATTTTTTTTGTCAGATTTTAGTAATTGTTAGTTCCAAAATGTTTTTGCAGGCCATTTCAAAATCATTACTAGGCCACAATATACTCCGATATAGTTATAGGATAACAGTATAAATATACCTGTAATTATTATATAATTATAAACGATGAGATTTAAAATGTTCTGTTGTTGTAATTAGTATAGATATACAAAAGACAACATTGAACATTGTGCAATATATGTTCATCTTTTTATTATTATTTGTTCTTTATAATTTAATAACATATTAATAGATATATAAATATATAATATTATAATTTACCGACTACTTTTATCGATTTTCTCGTGGTAGTTCAGTAGAACCATAGAATAAATGTATTTTAAATTTTTAAAAGTACAAAAAAACTAATCTCACTCAGTGTATATCTGTGCTTTAGCTGTATAGTTAGCAGGTAAAAGAAGTTTTCTTACAACAAAATAGGTGCAAATTATGTTCACCCACTCAAATGACGCATCTGCTCACAGGTCCCTAAGACGCGACTATTTTGTCGATTTCGAATGTTTTGGTCTCAAAATGTCGGTGTACCGTGTAGTTGTGTATGATAAACGGTTGAATACCTATTTATTATTGTGTCCGAAAAAAAATAACTCAGTCATTTTTCCCTTTTATTTCGTTCAAAACATCTCTACGCGTGCACACGATGACTGTTGATTTTTGAAGTATAATAATATAATATATGCTTTGGAATTCGATACGTATATATATCATATATATATATATATATATATATATATTATATAGAATGAAATAAAATTATATTAATGGTTTTTTATTTCTATAACGCACATAAAAACGGATGGTTGTTCGACCGTTATTATTCAAACAATCTGTTGTTGAAAATATTAGTAATGCTTTAGTCATAATGTAATCGATCATGTAACCAAAATTAAGGCGACAATATTTACTTAATTTATAATTTGTTGTGGTGAAGTTGGTGCCGTAAAATCAGTAGGATTTTTTTTTTATAAAACATCAGTGAGAACTGTGAAGTGGATCGAAATTGTACATATGTTTTTAACAAGTCATAGCTAATGAAAACCTATTATTTTTGTTCTAATTTCAAAGAGTTAACTCTGAACGATGATATAGAAGATATAGAGTATTTGAAAATGTATTTATTTACCTAATTATTTATAAATATAAAATATTTCATGTAAGTTTGACTAGGTATACGATTTATATTATAAAGAATAGTAATTCATCATAGGGAACTGCCTGTGATAAAGTAACTTCAATGAATAATAATAATTCACTTAGGTATACAATATACATGTATAATAATACTTCCTGTCTGAGGAAACAATTCAGTATTGGAGGTTGCCGTTAGTAAAAAAAAATTAATTCTTTTTTATGAAATTCAAAAAGTTTTGTCAACCTATACCTATTTACCTTGAAAAATACTCGTTATACGCACGGGGTAAATATTTAAATACACAAGTGCCTCAATGTTAAGTATAGTAGGTAGTCTGTGGAATAGTAAAAAGTATACACCCAATTATCCTTTAAATACACATCACTAATAACTAATGAGTAATGGGTAACGAATCGTTTGGATTATGTTATTTTTTAATTTACAATAATGTTTTTATGTACCTATGAAAAAATATTTAAATTTACGTTCAGTGTAAATAATAATGTGGCTATTTTCTGTTTATCATAAGTTATAATCTAGGCGGCACCGAGTAGATCGGAGTAAATACAAATTATGCTGAATACGAATAAGTTTTAGTACTAGGTGGTATGTCTGTTACTATATTAGCCATAACATGTTTTTTTTATATTTCATAACACAAACTATTCTGAACCTCAAAATCATATTCACTGTGTTTGTATTACAATTTTAATCAGCTTATGTAGAACGTAGTTACCTAGGTACTATAGTGATTTTTATAAGAGTTAACGCTTACGTGTTATTAGAATATTAGATGAAATTAAAACGATCCTAACATAATACCATTGATTGATTATATATTGATGGTTATATAGTCATATATCATCAAAGATATGACGTAGCCACGTAGGTAAATAATCGGTGTAGACATTTTGATCCCAAGTTGTTATATTTCTATGTATTCATTA